TGGTACAGACATAACATCAATACCAAAAGCAAACTGAAGCAGCTCCGCCAGCGCTGCAGGATACTAGGCGACAGTATGGGACAAGATGACGGCACCGAACCTCCACAAGAGAAGAACAAGACCACGTCAACAAACGCAGCTTCCTAAGAATGGACAGAAGGAAAAGGAAGGACCACCAAAAAACACCACACTGCCGCCAAGAAGAAGCATGCAGGTGGGACACCAGCAACTAAGCCACCTGACCACCAACAGAAGGCCGTAGGCCTTCGACTCAAGGCAGAACCGAACCAGCCCCGCCATGGGCCAATCGAGCCTAGGAAGAGGCGGAGCCATGGGAAGATCTCGGGTGCGACCATGGAGCCAGCAGACTCGAGGCAGAACCGAACCAGCCCTGCCATGGGCCAATCGAGCCTAGGAAGAGGCGGAGCCGTGGCAAGATCTCTCACCATGGAGCCAGCAGAGCCGGAAGCCCAAGCCGGCAAAGGAGGGGATGGAACGTCTGCAGTACAGAAAACAACCCTGGTTGATACCTGGTTGTTACCTGGTTGATGGGGTTCTGGGAGTTCTTCTACTCCCCAAGCCCGGCCCGAGGCCAGTCTTGACTTGTGAGAGTTTGGTCCACTAGGCTGTTGCTTGGAGCAGCCCGCAGTGAGTGCCCAACCCAATGCCAGTGAGCCCGCTAGGAGACCAGAGACAACGGTTCCGACATGAGATGCTAGAGAAGTGACACCACGAGACCGGGAAAATGCCAACAGGCAGGATAAGCCAAGAAACCAGGAACCCAAACCTGGCAACAAGAGAGCCAAAAGGCACAAATAAAACACACAACAATGTGTAGGATAAAATGAGAAAAAGGAAAAACACAAGAAAAAGACCAGAAGAACAGCCCCTGCACCAACGACCAGGGACATAAGCGTAGAAGGAAGATGAAGAACGAAGAAGGCAAGTAGCAAACGGGAATGAAAGGGACACGACCAACAACACACAGAGCCGCCGGTCATGTCCCAACAAGCTACGCCAACAACACACAGAGGTGCATGACACATCCCAACACAAGACTAAACAGAAAAAGGCGCAAAGGTATGCCACCAGATCAGTACCCGAAGCAAGAAGTACAAGCTACGAGGACATGATTACCACATTCAAGATTCTCAAAGGAATTTGATAGGGTAGAGAAAGATCGACTAAGGGACCCCAGGGGCACACGCACCAGGGGGACATCTTCGGAATGAGAGCTCAAAGGAGCCATAAAGACGTTGGAAAGAAGTAGGTGCCAGAATAGTAGGAACGCATGAGGAAGCAATGTGGTGAAGGATGACACCACACAACCTCAAGCATAGAAATGAAAGAGCCCAGCAGACTCCGGAACCCGCACATTAGCGATTGACAGGTGAGAAGCGGGACTAAAAACCCAGAGCCCAACTCCTGCAAACACAACGAGGGAAGTACAACTACATAAGTACAGAGAATCCAACGTATATGGAAGGGCTAAGCCAGGCACTGCAAGAAGGGCAAGGAATGAGTGACCAGGTAAGACCATGAAAAAAATGGGGCCGTGACCCTCCTTGCAACAATGAACACAGAGGAACAAGGAAGGCCCCAGGAAGAAGTATGGAAGGGCCAAACAAAATGCCATAACCAATCCCCAACACACATCCACAGTATGAAAACTGCAGCAAAATGTCACCTCATAACATCTTCACAGTTACATTTACCCAAAACATATACCCCCCACCATTGTACCTCGGAACCTGGTGGAGGTGGGGCCCCTTGCTGGACTCGAGCATGGGTTGGACCTGCATAAGAGTGGGACTGGATGGGTATAAATAGGAGCTGCCTCTTATGGCCCAATAGGCCTGCTGCAGTCACCTAGCTGTGTCCTGATGTTCTTATATTCGTAACCAAAAACCACGAATCAGCGCCTGGCCGAAAGAGACGTCAGACCGCATAAACACACCTGCAGAACGTAGGCACGAATGTGCCCCGACACAACATAGCCAAGAAGATGCTGGGAGCACCGCCTGTGGAAGAAGGCAAAGCAGCACATGCAGGAGAAGAGTAGGGTAGAGGCGATGGAGGAGCCCCTCACCCAAATGCAGGGAAAAACCCAGCATCCTCCCCATAGCGGTAATCCAGAACACCCCCAGCAGCTATGGGGCACGGAATGGAGAATGGAGAGGAGCGAGAGGTGAAGCACCTGAGAGAAAAAGACGCAGAACACCAGCACACGTGCACACCACCCATATCAAAACAAACTACATAGCGCATGCGCAGGCAAGGATGCCAGATGCGGGTTGCTAGAAGCCGCGAGCTGAAGAAATAAAATCACGAATTTTACTATAAAACTAGACAAAATGTTATTGTCAATGATTGAGTCCCTGTACAGAGTACACAGGGAAGCTATGACCAGTAGCCGAAAAGAGTAATAAGTAGCGAAACATACATAGCATAACTCTGCATGTGGGCGACAGTCGCACCCAAGACCAAAAGTCATGCAGAACTCCAAGAAGAGTGGGAACATGACAGTGAAGGCCCGTCCCAAAAAGAAGGGTGGAGAAACTGAGAAAAGTACCCACCGAGAGGACAGAACCTATGGATCCAAGGGACAAGGAACCGAACCAGGGAAGGGGCCGATGCCCAACAACTCGTACGGAGAGGGGGGAAGAAAAAACCCACTCCTCGTAACCGCAAGCCCCGCCCAGAGGGTAGAAAACCCCCAGCCGGGTCTAATGGAGCCCAAGACCCCCGAAGTCAGCCCCTCTCCAGACCCAGGAACCCACACGGCAGGTCCCGGGGCCGAGCTGTCCCCCCAAAGACCCAGCCTCACAAGAAAACAATTTTCTATCTTTTTAAGATAAAAATTAAGTACTACGTAATTAACTCAATGTAACCTACCTCACCCCTGAATGTCAACCCGTGTGTACGATTTTAAACAATGCTGTTGTTGACCAAATTGTATTTTTGCTTTTTTCTGCCATGTTTCCCCCCCCCCTTTTTCATTTTGTTCTTATATTTTCTCAACACAATTTATACTTTATTCTCAATTAGTATTAAGTTTTAGTCTTAGTGTTTTTCCTGCCCAAAACGCTTTGCGTATAGTGGCTTTAGGCATTATATGTACTAGCTCTATCTATAAATCCATCAACTTCTGTATCTCACCTTGTAAGTATGTACTTTACCTGAATAAATATTTGTATTTGTTTGTATTTTTTTTATAAAAAAGACCGGGGCAGGCAGACAAGTACTAAGGAAGGGAGTCCACTGGCAGACTCATACAACACGGCTGGAGGGACAGGCTCAAATGCCTCCGTCGCTACCCCGGAAGGGTAATTCCCCGAGACCGCCAGAGTCTCAAGACCACCTAAGCCCGATCCCGACTTCGAACCCACAGACAGTACGGATCTGGATGCAGGAAGGAATGGGGGGGGGGGGGGCAGGAGACCACAACAGGGGGAAAACAAGAGGGCGTGGTAGGAAACAAAACCGAAGCAACCAACACCCCCAAGCCCTGTTACACCAACTGAAACGGGGCAGCTTCAGGGCATCCAGGGAGCAAAGAACCAAGCGTGTCGCTCCACAGAAACGCAACGTGCAACGCCAGTGCTGCCTGTATCCGCATAGTGTGCATAAGACTGGGTAACCGAGTCATAAACAAGCAACAAAACTCTTAGGACTCTGGGCCGATGGTGCCACTGACCCCACAGGCAGCAAATGGAGGCAAAGGCAGTGAGAGTCACCCCGAGACAAGGGGGACAGAGCAACCCTCGAACTTGCACAGAGCGAGGGGGGGACTCCGGGTGTCACATCCATCGGACCCATGCGACCCCGTGGGAGTTCTCAGGATCCTGAGACGGAACTCATGCTCAGGGAAGCCCAGGCAGGGTACTGCTAACCAGCGCCCAAGTCTACCAAAACAACCTTTTAAGAACTGAACCCCTGGGACATGTACACTCACGGGGACCTAGCAGGGAAAACCACTGGAAGAAGGAAGAGTCCTCAATACACAGGGGGCAAAAATCAAGGCAGACCCTCCACCAGGCAGACAAACAAAAAGAAAAAGAAAACCCTCGCAAGAGGACAGCGTACCCAGGAGGAACAGAGCCGGCTGCTATGATTGGTGAAAACAAGCTGTGCAGTTCCCTGCGCCCCTACCAGTGCAAACTGCCTCTCACCCTAAGGCAAACAAGGGAGACAGAACCCCCTAGTACACAAAGGGCAGCTGAAAACCAAGCAGTATACGGCCTGTTGTTATCGTGGAGATAATTTCGGCCTAGCAGAGGCAGAACCCAAGAAACTTGGGGAAGGTTGCCCAAAGCTCCAAGGGCAGTACTTACTGGGCACCTAGGGAAGGAAACCCTAGACACATGCAGCCCGAGTACTGGTGAATCACTCCCGGCTCACACACCACCTAGAGACAGTCACCACACACTAGGTACAGTGCTGAAACAACCACTAGAGCCGGAGCACACAACTGTTGCCCAGTCTCAGAACTGAAGCATCAGTCTCAGAACTGAAGGGTGGATAGCCGGGCAGGGGTCTGGGGCTCCCCCTTCCTCCTCTCGGGGAGCGGGGGGAGCTGCGCAACCAGCGGCGCGGCGACATGTGACGTCATGTTCGTTTGCTCGTTTCTTTTTGGGGAGTTCTATCCACTTGTTTGGCTTTTGGTAACAATTTTCACCAGAATAGGGGTATGTTTTGGGACGCTTACCTTTCTGGGTGCCTGATCCGGTCGATCGCAGATATAGAATGCTTCCAACTACATGAGGGTTTCTATAGGCCACTGCTCCCCATGCCTCACCGAGGGGGCCAGGTTCTGGTTTGTGGTCCCCGGTAGGCCCACAGAACTTCATACACATGACTGATGCCAAAGTCTGACATTAGCATATCAGCCTGGATAAGCTCCGGGGAGCTGAAGGGGCTCCCCCAGAAATAATGAGAGAAATGTAACAAATATCAAACACCTATTCTGAATCTATGGTTAAGTAATAATGTTCACTTACTGTTTCATTTTCATTCATAAGAGCAATATTGTGGAGAACACAGGTAGCTTTCACAAATTTTCCACTAGCTTCTGCAGGCCCATCAATCATCTGCATCCGCCTGAATCTAGATTTGAAAACTGTCATCGCATTGGTAGTCAATTTGTGAGCTTCCTGGTGATTCTCGTTGTATAATGCCTCCTGATAACAAAATGATGAAAATAAAATAATATTTACCATAAAAAGCCTAGTCAAAGAAAACATTACTAAGCAAGTTAAAGGTACATTTTAACCCTTACTCTGCTCAGGCATTCCTGGCATGGCCTATGCTAGGAATGCCATGGACCTTTATGGACCTGGAAGATCTTAATGATGAGAAGAAATCTATTGTAAATACTGTACTTGAGAATTAATTCCAAAGAATTTCACATTTTCAACATATCTTCACCTCATTACAGCCAAACTAAAATGATTTTACATTTTCCCCCACCATCAGAAAGAAATGTTTTGTCATAGGAAGGAATTTTTTATATTTTTTCTTATGTGTACTAGGAAATTTACCTAATTTAGGATGCTCAGTTAGAAGGATTAAATTGTATGAGTACTATATACAAACTGTCAAATTACTATTTTAAAAGAAGAACATTTATCATCTAAATTGTACAGCATAAAACTAACCTGGTATGACAACATTTGTGTCATGTGTGGAGTCATGAGGGCTGGTGCCAGGGGGTATACAGCAGGAGCAACCAAGTGTGTCTCTGCACTTGTAAGACTTTGAACCTTTAGCCAGGCCTCTGAATCCTATTAGTCAGTAGCAAAAAAACCAGGGTTGAATGTAATGAAACTCCATTTTCTGGGTGAGACCCGAGGACTCCTCGGAGCTATCCGGCTGATATGGATGTACAAGCTTTAGGCATCAGTCACTGTACATGGAGTTTTAGGCATACCGGGGACGAGCCAGAACCTGGCCCCCTTCAGAGAGGCATGAGCAATGGCCTATAGAGACACTTTATATATGGTTTAGAAGTATTCTATATCTGCCATCGACCAGGTTGGGCACCCAGAAAGATAGGCCCCCCCATTCTGATGAAGAATTGCTACCAAACGCCGAACGAGAGGATAGAATTCTCCATGAAGAAAAAAGATAAAACGAGCATGACGTCATCTCGTTACCAATGCGCCGCCGTCTGTACAACGTCCCCCCCCTCCCTGGGAAGGGGAAGGGGGAGCCCCATACCACTGTCGGCTACCGGAGCCTGTCATGTCAGTTCTTAGGCCGGATGTCAAAACATGCGAAAAAAATGCCGAAGGGAGGGATGCCAGGGAGCCTCCGGCTGTCGTCCAGAAAATGCCGTTTCATTACATTCAACGCAGGTTTTCTGGGGGGAGCTCCTTCGGCTTCCCAGAGCTAACTACCCAAAAGCAAGGACAAAAGCGGGACCTGGTTGATACCTGGTTGATGGGGTTCTGGGAGTTCTTCTACTCCCCAAGCCCGGCCCGAGGCCAGGCTCGACTTGTGAGAGTCTGGTCCACCAGGCTGCTGCTTGGAGCGGCCCGCAGGACCACATACCCACCACAGCCCGGCTGATCCGGAACTTCTCTTAGAAAACCGTCCAGTTTTCTCTTGAAGATGTCCACGGTTGTTCCGGCAATATTTCTTATAGTCGCTGGGAGGACGTTGAACAACCGTGGACCTCTGATGTTTATACAGTGCTCTCTGATTGTGCCTATGGCACCTCTGCTCTTCACTGGTTCAATCTTGCATTTTCTTCCATATCGTTCACTCCAGTACGTTGTTATTTTATCGTGTAGATTTGGGACCTGACCCTCCAGTATTTTCCATGTGTATATTAAGGTATCTCTCTCGTCTCCTTTCTAGAGAGTACATTTGGAGAGCTTTAAGACGATCCCAATAATTTAGGTGTTTTATCTCGTCTATGCGTGCCGTATATGTTCTCTGTATTCCCTCTATTTCAGCAATCTCTCCTGCTCTGAAGGGGAGAGTGAGTACTCGAGACGGGACAACACAGGTGACTTGAAGAGTACAACCATTGTGATGGGATCCCTGGATTTGAAAGTTCTCGTAATCCATCCGATCATTTTTCTGGCTGACGCGATACTTGCTTGGTTATGCTCCCTAAACGTTAGATCGTCGGACATCATTATTCCCAAATCCTTGACATGCTGTTTTTCTACTATGGGAAGATTCGATTGTGTTTTGTATCCTGTATTATGTTTCAGATCCTCATTTTTGCAGTACCTGAGTACCTGAAATTTATCACTGTTAAACATCATGTTATTTTCTGCTGCCCAATCGAAAACTTTGTTGACATCTGCTTGTAGTTTTTCAATGTCTTCAGCAGAGGTAATTTTCATGCTGATTTCTGTGTCATCTGCAAAGGACGACACGAAGCTGTGACGTGTATTTTTGTCTATATCAGATATGAGAATAAGGAACAGTAGCGGTGCAAGGACTGTACCTTGAGGTACAGAGCTTTTAACATCGCTTGGACTCGATTTTATCTGATTGACTGTTGCTCTTTGTGTTCTGTTCGACAGGAAATTGAGTATCCAGCGTCCTACTTTTCCAGTTATTCCCATTAACCTCATTTTGTGAGCTATCACCCCATGGTCACATTTGTCGAACGCATTTGCAAAGTCTGTGTATACAACATCGGCATTTTGCTTTTCTTCTAGGGCTTCTGTGATTTTGTCATAGTGGTTGAGTAACTGTGACAGACATGATCTTCCCGCTCTAAATCCATGTTGTCCTGGATTGTGCAATTCATTGTTTTCCATAAAACTAGAAATTTGATTCCTAATCACTCTTTCAAACACTTTTATTATGTGTGATGTTAGTGCAACTGGCCTATAATTTTTTGCCAAGGCTTTACTCCCCCCCTTGTGCAACGGAGCTATATCTGCAGATTTAAGTGCTGCTGGTATCTCCCCTGTATCCAGGCTCTTTCTCCATATTACACTGAGTGCTCTCGCTACTGGTACTTTACATTTCTTTATGAATATTGAATTCCATGAGTCAGGCCCAGGAGCTGAGTGCATAGGCATATTGTCAATTTCTTTTGTCCCTCCCGGGACAAACCCGGGAGGCGGAAACCACTTGCCTGAAACCTGAAAGCAAGACAACTGGCAACACCAAACAACCCCGCGGATGACCCGGGAGACCTGAACAGGGATGAAGGCAACCCAGGCAACTCAAAGCACATCCAGGGCTACAGAGGCTGCGGCATGCAGGCAATGGCAGAGAGCAATAACCGGACACAAGAAGATGCACCCCCGGCCAAACCAACCAAGCATCAACAACCACAACAGAGTAGTTAATACTCTGAGTTAATACTCTGAGTTAATAATAGAGTTAATACTCTCAGAGTAGTTAATAAATGGAATGCACTAGGAAGTGATGTGGTGGAGGCTGACTCCATACACAGTTTCAAATATAGATATGATAGAGCCCAGTAGGCTCAGGAATCTGTACACCAGTTGATTGACAGTTGAGAGGCGGGACCAAAGAGCCAAAGCTCAACCCCCGCAAGCACAATTAGGTGAGTACAATTAGGTGAGTACAGGGACCCCTTTGGAAAACAGCCGGCCCAACCTCGCCAGAAAAGAGGAGACGGCTACAAACGAACAAACCGGACACCAGAACCCAAAGGAGCAGAAACCTCTGATAAACAATCCAGAACTGAAAAAGCCACAACAAACTGAGGGGTGAAAAAATAGCACCCAGGCCAAGACCAGGATGGCTCAGGCGATGCATGAGCCGGCTGGAGGTGAAACAATGCACGAGACAGCTTGCAAAACGGTGCAGAAGAAACATCAAAACCGAAGCAAGCCTTAGCTGCTCTGCCAGCGCCGCACAAGACAAGGCGACAGTATGTGGCAGAAGATGACAGTCCTGAGCAGCCATGAGAAAAAGGACAAGACCACAGCAACAAAAGGCGCAGTAAACCTATGAAGAGACAAAAAGAAAAAAGTACCACCACCAGTAAACCACATACTGCCGCAGAGAAGAAGCACGCAGGCGGGACGCCAAGAACAAAGCCACCTGATCACCAAACAGATGGTGATAGACTCGAGTCAAATGCACCAGACGCAAAGACTCGAGGAGAAGACTGAACCAGCCACGTAATGTACCGGACCGAGCATCTGAAAGAGGCGGAGACGTGGGGAAAAACCTCTGGTTGTGGACACCGAGCAAGCAGCACCTGAACCAAGGCTACCAGGAACCAGACAGAACCTCCGCTAGGCCACCAGGAATCTAAAAGAATAAAAGACAGGAAAGAACCAAAACTCTGGCGAGCAGAAACACCCCATCCGGGAGGATTCCCCCCCCCCTGGACCGCCAAAGGACCAACAAGTCAGACACAGACGACAACTATAAGAAGTTGCTTGCAGAAACTGCCCAACCGCAGACTCCACAAACAGCTAGAACAAATGGCAACAAAAACCGAAGAGCAAGGGCCCAGGCAGAAGCCAATGAGGAAACGAGTACCACTAGCCGACACGCGAGACGTAAAGCGAAAAATTGTGACACTGCATCCCACAGGAATGGCGGAAACAGATCCAACAGTGCAGACGATGCATGAGCCGCTGATTTATGGAGGAGAAGAACACGGGAGGACATGTACTGCACTAAAATACAAAGATTCAATACATAAAATAAATACAAATAAAAGTCCGCAGCCAGGGCTGTAAACCCCTAGCTCCTCTCGTCCTAATGACAATGAACTGTAGGGGGCAGGAGTGGTTGATGCGAGATCTACCTACACCTGTCAACGTTTCAACAGATCAGCTCGTAATATAAGACAAGGAGAAGATGAAATAACACAGATCTATACCTGAACACTATCACTGTGCAGGATCAGGGATCCGAACACATACACAGTCTTGCCTAGCACTAATATTAGTACAGCCAATATGCACACTAATAAATGCCAGGCGTATAAGGAATGAAGTAAGCAAATATGCAATTAAAAAACTGTAAAGATGGCCCAAATATCGTTAACTAGGGACAAGAATGTACATTCAAGATAATAAAGTAATATGACGTAGGCAGCAAGTGGAAACATAATGTATAAGAACTATTACATATACAGTATGATATCAAGGTAAATAAAAGGGGCCAGGCAGGCAGTGAATGACTGTCAATGAATGAGTGTCCAAAGTGCAATGAATGACTGTCAATGAACGATTGTCCAGCCAAGAAAAGATTCAGTCACTGAACGAAAATCGGGGCTAAGCCCCACAGTGTAATGAAGAACAATAAATATGGACATAGGAAGGTTACATTAAGAAAATGTATCCTAATGTGCCTTGTAATCTTTGTCATTATAGTGCATTGCCATTAGTGTGTATTAACTAATCGTTCATTGTGTCAATATTTTGTACTTAAATTTATCTGTTAGATCAGGACCCACCTGAACGCCACACGCGCCAGAGGCCCTCTTATCCCAAGTTCTTTCCCAAGAGGCAGACAAGAGAAGCTCCAGCATATTTCAACATTCTTAAGTATTGTAGTACAGGTTGATGATAGTGAGTGGTGTCCCAGAGAACATAAAGGTATAGTGCTTTTGAAAAATAGGTGAGATAACAGGAATGTGCCAAGGGAAGTGAAAAAATGGATGAGAAAAAGTTGCCCTAGTGTTTCCAGTGCAGAGAAGAACATTCAAGATGGCCGCCGGCAAGAGGAAATACAAAACAGAGCTTGATTTTGCTGGATTCAGTGAAGAAAGCATTGATATTAGCAGTCTATACAACAAATTGGTAAAATTAGATACTATAGT